AGCGCCTTCAGCTTTCAGTGAACTGTGCGATCACTAGGTGTGCATCTTCTTTGCATGCAAGTGCTGTTTATTTGAAACCATTTCAAACATCAAACCATCTAACCTGCTCGATCAGCAGATCGGCCAGGTTCCGATACAAGTGAAACCTCTCCCTCGTCAGTGCCCTCTTAAGGCCAGCGCCTTTAGCTTCCAGTGGACTGACAACACCAATCAGCTATCTCTATGTGCGATCACTAGGTGTGCATCTTATTTGCATGCACGTGCTGTTTCATTCAAACCATTTCAAACATCAAACTATCCAACCTGCTCGATCCGCAGATTTGTCAGGTTTAAATAAAACAAGTAAAACCTCGGCCTCGTTTGAAGCACGAGAATCCAGTGCGCTGCGGATGTGCCTCAAGGTTATAAAACAAACGGAAATGTGATAGCAGGGATCCAGGCGAGCATACTGGCATGGTGGCTCAATGGTACACATACATGGTGGCTCAATGGTACACATACATGCTTCTGTTTCCAACCCACTTCAAACTTTATGTCCGCTGGGCCCAGCGCGGTGGATGGGGGCAGGCGTGTCGACCGACTGCTCACGTTCGAATACAAGTACATAGCAGTGCACCCTGCATGATGTTTCACGCTTTTCCTTTTTTTTTTGTGCTCAGGGGGCATGTGTTGTCTCTGTGCTGACAGCTGCTTCGTGGCGTGCGGAGGTTTTCTTTTTTTTGTGCTCAGGGGGGGCGCGTTGTCTCTGTGCTGCCAGCTGTTTCGTGGCGTGCGGATACACTGTGTTTAGGGGCGCGTGGATATACTGCGTTGGTGGTGGGGTTTTTTTTTTGTAGATTGTTTTTTTCTTTTTGTCGCTTTCCACGAGGGGCGGCGCAATGCCACGTATAGATACGTGGGTTTTCTTTCCTTCGTAGATTCGTTGTCTTGTTTTCGGTTGATTCGTCTTTTCTTTTTGTCTTTTTTTTAGGGGGGCAACAGGATGCCACAGTAGGCGCCCCCCCCCACATGCACAAAAGACAAAAAATATGGGGACTTATGTTTCCAAGTTCTAAGGGAAAATACGGCTCACCTGGCCTTGCTCCGCTAAGTTAGTCGCCACATGCACAAAAGAGAAAAAATATACCGATGTATATTCCCGTGCTCTGGGGGAAGATGCATTCTCATTTTGCACTTTTATAGAGTAGTGGAGTGAGGCCCTCTGTCGGACGTTCGAGCATGCCTCACCTGGAAGGAACTTTTTCCATCCACAAAGGGCAGAAAGTGTAGCCGTGTACCTTTCCGTGATCCAGCGGAAGATAATCATTCTCATTGCAATGTGTGTGTGTGTGTGTGTGTGTGTGCGTGCGTGTTCCCCTGCTCTTGGCCCCCGCCGCGGATGAGGCGGGCATCCGTTTGTGAACAAAAAAAAAAGCAGGGATCCGACAAGGGCGGGATTGAACGATGGCAGCACGACATTCACAGGCCGGTGACTTAATAAGATAGAGAAGGGTTCGGTTGAACTGAGATCCAAACTCCTTGAGCCACCAATTGGCCTAGCTCAGTTCGGTACACACATAAACTGTT